GAAATTCTTTTGTAAACTGAATAAAAGATGTACACATGAACATAAATGATTATTTCTTTTATCCGATTAAAATTATCTTACAAAAGTCCGTTCTTAAAATGATCGTCACTCTATAAAAAGAAGTTCTATGCATCTGAATCTCTTAGAACAGATTCCCTCGTAAATAATATTCAATCATTATTACAAATTAAAATCTCATTCAACTACAAGAGTAAACATAACTATCGCTAATAAAAAAAGTTCTCCCAATGTCAAATCACTTTTCGATCGAGACGAGTAATAGAAAATCAACTTTTCACGAACAAATTTCTCAGTTCATTGGATAAATTGTCATTTTTCTAATATTTCCTATTAGGAAACACAGTGATCTATCATGATGACAAAATGTTCAAGAACCTTGTGATATTCGTTTGACATTCTATTTTACACTTTAATTATGAAAACAAATTATTATCATAAATATTTCTCTTTTTTAATCTAATTCTAACGATTCATACCTTGTAAATTTTGTTAAACAAAAACACAGTATCATTTTACACTTTAATGACAAAAACAAAATGTCATTTGACTTTTTTTTTGTTTTAGAGTTCTCTTAGAAATACTGATAACATGCTCATTATCGGCTACAATATATTCATGCTATTCTACAAGCAACTACTTCGGCAAAATTTATAGAGAATAGTACAAGCAAAACAATTTGAATCTAAAATACATATGTCTCGTCCTCTGGTCAAACCTTTATAATCACCATCAGAGATGCTTATCGCGACTGAAAATCTGCCGCTGTCATCATTGAAGTCGATGGCTCAGAAAATGAAATCAATCTAGATTTTTCTATTATTCATCATCTTGATCGAAAAAATAATTTCACACTTGAAAAGAGTCTTGGCTTTACTAATATAAACTTACACGATGTTGAGCACGATCACCAATAATATAAAGTGGTGAACGTTTATGAACTTGTAAAATTGATTCATTAAAATCAATATCAAAATTTGTTGATCCACTACCACCACCACCACCACTAACACCTGCACCTCCACTTGTTGCTATTGATGATGGTGTTGGTGAATTCATTGATGTATAGCTTGCTGTTTCACTTCTTGGTAATGTATCAATATTTGAATGAACATT